AAGGATTCTAGGTGTATGTTGCAGACCATGGGGCCAGTTGACTATGGCCACTAACCAGATAACTCCTTTGTATCCATGTATGTTTGTAAATATGTCTGTCTGTCTGTCTGTCTGTCTGTATGTATGTATGTATGTATGTATGTATTTATGTATGTATGTATGTATGTATGTATGTATGAATGTAATGTTATGTAATGTGATGTAATGTTATGTCACATTAAGTCGTGTAATGTTATGTTATGTTACATCATGTATGTCTGTATGTATGTATGTATGTACGTATGTGATGTAATGTTTTTCACACTAAGTCATATAATGTTATGTTATGTTACATCATGTATGTCTGTATGTATGTATGTATGTGCGTATCTGCGTATGTGTGTATGTGTGTATGTATGTATGTATGTATGTATGTATGTATGTATGTATGTATGTATGTATGTATGTATGTATGTATGTATGTATGTATGTATGTATGTATGTATGTATGTATGTATGTAGTATGTATGTATGTATGTATGTATGTATGTATGTATGTATGTATGTATGTATGTATGTATGTATGTATGTATGTATGTATGTATGTATGTATGTATGTATGTATGTATGTATGTATGTATGTATGTATGTATGTATGTATGTATGTATGATAGATATATAGATAGAGAGATAGATAGATAGATAGATAGATAGATAGATAGATAGATAGATAGACAGATAGATAGATAGATAATAGATATATATATATAGATAGATGGATAGATAGATAGATAGAGAGATAGACGGATATAGATAGATAGATAGATAGATAGATAGATAGATAGATAAATAAACAAATAGATGGATAGATAGATAGACAGATAGAAGCATCGATCGATAAATAGATAGATCGATAGCTAAATAGATCGATAAAAAGATAGATAGATAGATAGATAGATAGATAGATCGATAGGTAGATAGATAGATACATAGAAGGATAGATTGATAAATAGATACATAGATAGACAACTAAATAGATAGATACATGGATAGATAGATGGATAAGGAGGTAAGTACATAGTCAGAGAAAAAGAAAGAAAGAGATGCGGACCAGGGGGGAATCGAATGGGGGGGGGGCCCCCCCCCCCTAAGTCTCCGTTCGTGACTCTCGGCTCTCAATTTCCGGGAAAGGAGCACCCACCTCCCCCAGTACTAAACTAGTACTAAAGTACATAGAACTCAGGTAGCCTAGGCTACCTTTCGTGACCTGAAAAAATGAAGTATGAAAGAACCTCTTTAGGATGGAAAATGAACTGCGAAACAAGCACAGTGGGTGAAAAATGGTGAAAATATCACCAAGTACGAATTACTTTGCTCGTTGACTTTTTGCGATGAGAAACCCAGCTGTTGAACCGCAGTCGTTGACAGTGCGCAAAGTCTCCATCCGATCCCTGCCTGAAGCATTTTCCGGAACTTGTCGTAGTGCGGGTGCCTCGTCTCCGAAGCAAAGTTTAAAGAAACTCAGGCGGCAAAGGCCGCAAATTGATTGCACGATTTGGGGCTCGCATGAAGCCTGAGGGCGTTTCTGCTTAAAGTTTAGCCTTAAACCATCTTAAACCAATCCAAGAAATACGGAAAAACAAACTCATAGAAACCAGGTGAACCTAGCTGGCAGCAACACCATTGAAAGGTGATGCTGGAAGCCTGAGTATGGAAACTCTCTGACGCATACCTTGGGAAACCCTTGGACTTCCGTACCTTTGAGAAATGGAAACAGCTCAAAATCTTCGGTTACTGCAATTGGCCCGGAGAATTTGAGCAACACCCTGGCATCGCAGGACATCAAGGAACACCAACTGGACATTGCTGCTAAGAGACTTCCATGTGGCTTCGGTGGTTCGCTCATCTACCCAGTACACCATACCATCCTGGTGTCAGAAACCAAACAGAAAGCACGCGATCCCAAAACATTCCTTGGTAGACTCAAGATATGGGTCCTGAAAAGTGAGAGTAACCCGCGCGGGCAAAATTCTAATCTCCAAACATACACCAGTAATGATGGTTCATTTTTTGGCGGCTTCCAACCAATTTTCGACACACTCATGCACTTGCTTTAGACATTCTGTTACAACTTTGTCCTTGACGTACTGGGAGAACCATGGAGGCAAAGGCTCTTCCTGGCGGTTGCGCTTTATTAAACTCCCTGTGGGAAAACGCTGGTGAAAAAGGTCCTGTCCTTGAAGGCTGTGAAGATCCATAGGATGTTTTCATCCGTGGCTGGATCCACGCCCAAATAGCGCATGTGCTCCTGGACTTGACTTCACCACACTTGAGACGTCATCAGTGGACCTTGGAGCCTGACATGGATTGGTTTTGTTGGGAAAATCTACGGGAAACCATGGCTTTTGCCACCAGAAAGATAAAACAAGTTGCTTCTGGCTCAGATTTTCCACTGGTCCTGCAAGTCTGGTTCTATTCCATCCGCACAATACAGGATTCCTGAGAGAAAAGGTGTGAACACTGCCACAATCAGATGCAGTGAGCTGTCAAGATTTTAGGGTACCAATGGACCCTCAAATGGCTGATCATCTTTAAAATTGGCCATCCGAACAAATGGGTCCCCGGCCATCCACAATGGTCTTCTGGTCTGTTCCTTGCTTCAGTGCCATCTGGACCTGGATGGACAACCAGGCCCTTCAGAGGAAAGCCGATCTTTCGTCGAAATCTGTGTAAGGGTCGCCAACTCAAAGCGATAGACTCATCAATCTGATAAAGATAGGTCTCATCAGTTGCCATTAGAAGGAACCCTGATGGTTCTTGAATTTTCGCGGCTCCAAAGTCCCAAAAAATCAATGGATCGAGCCTCATCTCGGGTGACGCCAAAGGTCCGCCATGGTCCTCGCTCATGTCTCATTGCACAACATGCCACACTGGAGTGATGCCCAAATCTGTTTTCGCACAATCCCCCCCAAACCTGCTCTGAGTAGGTTTCAACATGTTTCAACCATCCGGTTGGAAGGTTGGACTTTCCAAATTTTTTGGTGCCCGACTCGTCCTTGATTGAAGAGGCGCATGTCTCTGTCCTCCTTGCCCTCGATGACCGTCAAGAACTGACAGGTGACACCGCGTTTTTTAATGTCAATCTAGGCTTCAGAACACCCTGTTTTGTTTTTATTACTGTTCCATTTAGGTACCACAAAATTGAAGACTGTGAAGATACAAGACACATGATTAGTGAGTCTTTAGGCTCAAGGGGTCTTCCCCCCCAAAAAAGAACATTTAAACAGCAACACGTCCAACATTGGTCCAACACTTTTCTGTTTCACCATGTTTCACCTGATCCCAAATCTCCGCAATGTTGGCGTTCCATTCAAACACCGTGAAATCTTCCGGGGTGGGACCTCGGACGAACATCGGAGCCACGGCCAGGGTCAGGGTCACGCAATCGCAAGGCTGAAGTTCCAAGGCCGTGACTCTGTGGAAGGTATACAATCTGAAACTCTGGACCAAATGTCGCCTGCAGAATTTCAGCCGAATTTCAATGATCATGTTGTGAATTTTGATCTGAAAGCAGCAAGTTTGCTGAAACAAAAACCAGGCCAGATTGAAACACGTAAAGGACAATTCCAACATGCCCTGACCGCCATGCGGCTCCGCCTGTCTCGTCATGAAAACTATCTCGTCGTCCTCCCACTTGATGATTACCTGAACGCTCGAGAAATTCAAGGCTCACATCTGCACGCTCGGCTCTAAACGTGTCCCGCGTGCCTTGAATCCTACGGGAATGTCGTACTTGCCTTCAATTTTGTACCTCAGCAAAGACAGAAAATGGAGGTAAAACCAGGAAGTAACATCTGAAAGTACTTAACTCAGATCACCTGGGTGTGCCTAAAACATGGGGAAAGTCTGTCATTTTCCTGTCAAACAAACAATCTAACTGTGTTTTTCCCCTGGCACAGGAAGATACTGAGAACTGATTTCCCATGGTGTTCCCCACTCAAACACCGTGATTTCACAGCCAGCCATGTTCGGTTCCCATTTAGTTTGATTTTCCCATGAACCACCGGCTTCCCATTTGTGCCTGTGCCATTTTCCCAGCTGGGTTTGAACAAAACTCACATACCCTTAAATATCATGGTTCATCATGGTTCATCATGGTTCATCATGGTTCATCATGGTTCATCATGGTTCATCATGGTTCATCATGGTTCATCATGGTTCATCATGGTTCATCATGGTTCATCATGGTTCACCATCACCATCACTATCACCATCACCATCATCACGATCATGGTTTTCTCTCTCGCTAAATCATGCCAAATCCATCTAACCCCATCTAACCGCTGCGGAGACATCCTCCCTGTTTTTTGGGTCCCAGCCCCTCCCTCCCTTTCCGCTCGGCTGAGGAGACGGACTTTGAAGGATTGGGGCCCTGATACTTCAGCCCGAAGGACATCACCAGCAAGGGCCTGTCCTCAGAGAGAAAGAAGGCCGCGCCGAACAGCACCCGAACTTAAAACCACAACGGTCACTTTGGTCTCTTCAAATTGCCTATATATATATATATATGTATATATATATATGTATATATATATATGTATATATATGTATATATATGTGTATATATGTATACATATATATATATAATCATTAGTTATATATATATATATGTTTCTTTAATACATCATTTTCCGAGCCATTTACCAAGTCCTGTCTGTTTACACCAAAGGTTTCTAGTGTTTTTTTTGGAAGCCAAGCATCATCTGCGATGATCAGATGACCTTCTTGTCTTCTCCTGAAGTCTTGAAGGCCCTCGGTTTGGTTCACGATGTTCGCCTGGCAAGGGAAAGACCGCTCAGGGTAGCCTCTACTCCAAGGCGCTACTCCACTTAGCAAGTGGGTATGTGTCCATAATCATAGGGGTTATATGCCAACGTACTGTATGGGAGTTATTACCATCATAAAACCCATTTTTTTGCCCTAGCTGCACCTCCAAGTAGTGATACATGGCTGGCTGACAGGAGAATGCACATAGCTGATGGGAAAATTCACCAATGGGAACGGAGAATCCGGAGAATCTTCATTGCCCATGTTCGTTTTTGATCGTGCTGCTGATATCCCTAGTTTCGCCAATTGGCGAATATCCACATGGTACCAAGCTGGATCTGCCAATGCTTGTTGGGGATATTCTTCACCATCCCCTCATGATATCTAAATGTGATTCTAGATTCTAAATATTATACTTAATGGTAATTATATATATAAATTATATACTTAGTATCACCAGTTTCTTGATTATACTTACCCATCCCAAAGTCTCAAGTCGCCGAGATTGTCATCTGGAAAATCCTCCGACTTCGATGATTTCCCCGTTCAAACCTCCATAAACCGGGCCACAGACAGGGCCTCGCCTGGTCAAAGTATCCCCCTGTGAAGATCTCCGGCGGCCGCTCTTCGTACATTTCCATGGCCTCGTGGGAAGGAACTTCATGGTTACTGTAACCCTAAAAACCTGTTTGTTTCATCATTTTCTCTATTCAAAAATAACCATTTGGTGGGACTGGTATACCATATTGGTGGACATCTCCAACGAATCGAATTTGACGGACAATTTGTTTACACATAAAAACCATGGAACATGTTAACAACTGATTTATATCATCAACATGGCGACTTAACCAGCAAATACCCGAAAAAGGATCGTCACTAATGACGGGGAAGATGATCCACACGATGCGGGTATATCATCATCAATCTCAGGGATATCTAATCACCAAGACTTACATATCACGAGGACATGTGTAGAACCAAGAAAGATCAGTGGTTGGGTTTGGGTATAGTAGCGATCCAAAATGCAGAACGAAAGGGATCAGGCTCTTCGCACTTGCAAGATTAAAACATGCTAATTTGAGATGTGAATCATTTGGAACCCTGTTGATTTCACATTGGAAATGAAATGTCATCAAACAATTTGAGAGGAATGATGGTTACCAACGCCACCTGAAGTTGTATACATCCCTATCTACTGTGTCCTGTCATATTATGGCCATAAGCAAGTGTTGCGCCGGAACATTTTGCGCAGAGTGCTTCCAAGCAGCAGTGAACAATCAGCAATCAGACTCTAAAACTATTCCAAATCAACTTCTACGGAGTGATTCCCTCCCAACTTGAACCCAAACTTCGGTTAGCGGTTAGAGCGACCACATATGCAGCATGGGTGATGCTTGCAACGCGTCCTTTCCGCATCCTTTCGGGAGATCACCGAGAATCAAACTTCAGTCTTGCATAGTATTTAGGGCCTTTAGGGTCAAGGACCCCGTGCAAAACAAAGTGAGTTCTTTTTCTCCATGCATATTCGATGTCAAGCCGAAGAGAAACCACGCTGCCCAAACCTCCAAGGCAAAGCAAGTCATGCACGCTCCCAGCCATGCTGGAGAATATTCGATGACAACCACAACAAACAATGCGCATTGAAGCTGAATGCAAAACACACAGGCAGCCATTGTCGGATGCGAAAACTACAAGAGCTAAGTGACTCAATGTTGTTCCTCGAGAAAACGATGACCACAATGCTTCCAAGGAGCCATGGAATATCGAGGGACTCCCAACTTGAACCCGCTCTGGGTGACAGCTCTACGAAGCATGGCTCAGGACAGGCCGATGCATCTGTGGATGAAATCTACCTCTCCCATATGGCCCATACATATCTTGTTTCAGTGTGGTCTTTCCATATCTTCGCGAATAGCGAATATGGTAAATCCGGCCACCTTTTTTTTCCAACATCTCACGGATATTATGACTTGGATGTGCTTTAAACGTTCGGCAAGTTGACATTGCAGAGTTTTGTCACCGCAACCACCAGGATCACAGCAGTCACTCAAAAAAAAACCTGAAATCCTTGCCACAAAAAGGATCAGCTCTATTTTTCACCCTGCATCTTCGATGTCAAGGTTTTGACACAGAAGCGACAAAAGAACGTGAGGAGTGTCGAACTGGGTTCCTGAAGAAGAGATGCCAAAATGCAAAGAGCTCCACAGCAAAGCTGGCCACACAGGCTCCCAACCATATGGTCGAATATTTGATGATGACCACGAGAATCAACACTGACTGAAAAGACGAGCTAAACGAGCAAGCAGTTAGCACCACCGCAGTCATGGATGCACCCGCGAGCGTCTGCCAGATTCCACTTGAGAAGGCTCGGGCTGCCAGGCAGCTGGTTCGTAGCCCCAAAGGAAATGTTAGGATCCAAAACACTGGGCCCTGTATTCCATTTATAAACGCATTTCCAAGCATGTACTCAGTGACCGAAGCATAGCCCCAGTTTGAGGCGGACAGCTCACAATCAGCCCGGCCATCACAGCCAAGCGCAACCGTGAAGCCGCCCAAAACCAAAGGCAAAACAGCAGCGATGCAGGAGTTGAGAGGGAGAAAGTCCTCTTTTCCGATGGATGCCTCAACGCTTTCACGCAATGGTCCCCTCACATATGTGTTGAACTGATCCAAGATTTCATCGCGAGTGGGGTAGCTGGTGATGTGACGGATGTCTCTAAGCGCTTCTGGGGACATCAAAGGAGCATCAGCGGCATCTGCGGCATCTGCAGCATCTGCACCGAAAGAGACTTGAACTGGAGGCTCCAAAGCTTCATCGAACAAGTCTAATATCTGTTCCTCGATGACTTTCCGGTCACTTTCCACTGTGCACTCAGCACTTCGAATGTCGAAGTGCTCCATCTGACTCAGCATCAACTTGTGCTTTTGCAGTTTCTGCATGCACAGCCAGAACCAAGGGAGCCCAACGCCTACAGGCACAGCCACAGTGGCGGGTACTGCAATCATCATGAAAGAGGCCACGTATGACAGCCTTGAATCCCAATTACCTTTCTCCCAGCACCAGACTTGCCCGACAACGGAGAAGCATACCAAAGTCAAAAGAGCAAAGCTCGACAAGACCCACAACGGCATCCAGGTAGGCACAAATCGTATGGCCTGCGGGGCTGAAGAGGCTTTTACCCAAATAGCGACTTCATAAATGCACCACAGTCTTTGCCAATACGTGTCGTCCCAAATTACTAGCATCTGCTTCGATTGAGCTACAAAGGCCGGAATTGCTTGCAACGTCTGCGACTTCACCTCTGCATTGGTCGGATGGACACAGACCTGATCTATCCAGAACTTGCGACAATCCAGCAGGTGTCCAAAGAGATACGTACCAAGAAACACCGAAAACGGCCAGAACAACAAGAGACAGCACCTCAGTGTGAGATCTTGCTGCGCCACAGCCGGGAAGCTACCTGCACGAAGTACCAAGATCAAAACGGCCAGCAAGAAAGCAAGGACACATGACCCGATGGCCAAATTCAGGTTTAGGCGATGGCATAGAGCCAGTCGTTTCATCCAAAGTGAACAAGACCAAGAATGGCTGATAAAGAAATCTACCTCCGACACCCTCTGCAAGGAATCATACCTGGATGTCCGGTCTGGGCTGGTTTGGAGATATTTCAAAACTGAGTTCGAAACATTGAAATTAAACAAGCAAGCCGCAGTTGTAGCCCTGAAGAGTCCATCCTGCTGTGAGACCTCGATGAGCTTCTGAACTTGCTGCATCCACAGGACGACCGCAACTTAGGCCGTGTCTTTGGCCGCAATGAGAACGTGGCTTCACCAAAATTCATTGCGTTCGAGCCAAGCGACTGCAAAGTTCTGCGCTGGGCATGGTCCGGCATGGTCCTCAAACAATCTAGAAAGAAACACACTTTAAAACCATGGCTGGAAGATCGGTAGGACTGCAGAACCACAGTTCGCTATTTGCCTTTTCCAAAGCCGCGCTTGCAGTGAAACCTTCGGTGAAACTTCATCGACTGAGTCTCATGTGTCTCAGTACTGAGATGCAGAAACTCAAGTTGACCTCCATCGCGGTGGAGTTGCGGCTTCATATGGTCGCGGCCAATGGTACCCATTCCTTGCGTAAATGAAATGTGAGCAAATCTCGGGATGTGGTCAGATGTGTCAAAAATATGCACAAACCCACGGTCATTGTAAGCACCGACCATCCAGTAGGAAGCAAAATACTTCCTGGAGTTGTCCACTTCCCACTTCCCGGAAATTGCTGCTGGGAATCATCTCGGTGTTGAAGCAAAGTGACCTTGCGTCGGATCGAAATAAAAGCATGTCCATCTTCGATCATACAGAAGCCCTCGACATTGGTTAAAAAAAACAATTAAGGGATAAACAAACTCTAAGCTTGACAGTGGCGCAAAATCATTGCCCACAACATTCTTGTTCTAGTGTACTAGTCTAATGCTAAAAAGTTACTCTTCCGGTACAATTTCTGATGAGGATTCCTCACTTTACTGCTGGCATCTGGATCTACAATATTCTACAATCATGTCCAAACCTGATGGTGTGATTGACTGGTGAGTGGCTCGAATGACAAATGGGTCTGTGATTGCCTGATGGAGGGATTTGATGGACTGGTTAGCTAATGGATTTTTTGATTGGTTGATGGCAGCTGGACCACAGTTGGACAACAGTTGGACAACATGTTTTGATATGTTTTGTCTGTATTCTCCGGGATTGATGAATTTCTCTGGGTGATCATGAAGCATACATGGCTTTGGAAAGCACGATGGAGGACACACCAAAAACCAGGATCAAGACAGGGGTTCTCCCCTATGACCCCATGACCCCCATCAAACTTAGAAGCCAAGACACCACATCACTGTGACCACGATCTCTAGCACACTCTTCAGGCATTTTTCCCACACCTCGGAGATTCTCCAACTGGCCTGCCGTCTGAATCCTAGGGCTGTTCATTTCAGTGTCGCACCGTCCTAGTCGGTGTCCGATCTTGGTGCATACCCACATTCACATGGCACACAACTTTGTTGATGCCTTGATAATGTGGGAAGCACAGGCAGAGAAGGATGCTACTTGAAATCCCATCACGAATCCATTCAGCCCTTCTCTTGGAATCCTCTTTTCTCTTCTGTTCTCTACCAAGACTCTACCAACAAACCAACGAAAATCGATTCCATTGACGCCAAATCGTTGCTCGCTCCAAGGGGCGGTTGAGTGCGCGAGCTTCGCCACCGTGTTGCAGCAGCAGTTTCACCAACTGTCGCGCTCGAAACGGATTGGTCAGCGATCAGATTTCGAACGTGGTTGGCATATGGGGGGTTCCATAAATGCGGGGGGGGGGGCCCAAAAGCTGGATGGTTTATAACAGAAACTCCTATTTAAATGGATGATTCATGGTTACCCTCCTGACTTGGGAAACTTCCATATGTCTTGGCAAACCTCTTTCCTAACATTATTCGAGCATTTGACAGCAGCTATCAATTTAGGCCTTTGAATCTGGCGTGTGAGATCAACTTTACCAAACATCGGCAGGATGACAGCATAATCGCCCCTGGTTGCGGCCAGGTGTAAAGGTTTGTCCCCACGGCGGTCCTCGAGTTGCGAAGAATTCGAGAATCCATCTGATTTCAAAGCCATCCATAGAAAGTCTGGATGTGTCTGAAAATGGGGTGTATAATGTATATATATATATATATCAAAGCAGTTCACTTTTCCTCGCGCTAAGCTGATTCTCCCAGCGGCCGTGAGATGGCCGACAACAGCAAAATTTTGCTGTTGATTCACACTGCAATGATCGATCAGACACTCAAGGCAGTTGGTCTCCAGAAAGAGGCTGTGAAGCTGTTCTCAGTCGGGAGGGAAAATAAACAACAAAAAGGGCTGGGCCCTGAGAAAGCTTGGAGCCAGATAGCGCACCAGCAGATGACCTGAATTGATAGGACACATCAAAGCAGTTCACTTTTCCTCGCGCTAAGCTGATTCTCCCAGCGGCCGTGAGATGGCCGACAACAGCAAAATTTTGCTGTTGATTCACACTGCAATGATCGATCAGACACTCAAGGCAGTTGGTCTCCAGAAAGAGGCTGTGAAGCTGTTCCGCCTCTGAAGTCCTTGGGCTCCGCATTGGAGCTCACAAACCAAAGCAGTAGATCGACACTGTACTTTGCAAAAATTTCTATGCGCCGTCGGGCTGAGGTCGAGAGCCGATGAAGTAGCAACTGGGCTGCTACTTCTTGCAAGTAAAACTCAACAGTTTTCAACTTTGTCCACCGACCTCTCCACGCAATTCTAGAAACATCTTCAGTGCAAAGGTACATGTGGGTGGCTCCGGATCCTCTCAAAACTCCGGGAGTCACCCCTTTTTGCGACTGCGAAAAGGGAATTTCAAGCTTCTGCATTATAGAGTCCCACTGTCGCCGATATGAGTAGGCAGACCCGTCATAGAGCTTGGCTGAAAGTTTGAGACGGCCAAAAACTGATTCCAAAAACTGAATCATCAAAGGATCGTCTATACGGCACCTGGCTGTCTTTGGGTTCCGCAGGTGCACATACATGACGCGACTGTCCACCATCGCATCTCTGGGGAAAACCAAATCTTGTCTGACCAGGTTCAAAAACTCACCAGGGTGCAACATGCCTGAGAACCCAATCAGCGTAATGGCCAACCAAACTTTCCAACCCCACAACAGGGCTAAGGTCGTGATGGCACGAAGCACAGGTGCCGATAACACTGGACGGCACTCACCAGGCTCATGCAGTTGCCATCTTCGATCCACTTGCCAGGCAGGGCTCATATATGGACGAACATGTGGGTGTAGATTCTGTATGCCAGTGATGGCGTACACATACAAGTATCTGGGAAAACCTTGCTCAAAAAGGTGCATGCCGTAAGCTCGGAGGGCGAGCGCCATTCCGTGAGGTGACTGAACCAGCGAAGAAAAACTCGAATTTAACGTTTGATCTACCCAGAGCTTGAAACCAGTGACACAATCTTCCATGCGGCGACTCGTGGCTGGTGCAAACCCGACCGCAGCGTCGAGCGGTCCACGGGGCGATCGTTGGGTCTTCTGCGGTCCTGGATTCCTCTCAATGTCACCTCCCAGCAATAGCAACAAGCGCAGCCAACGAGCTGCGTTTCGCCCAAGAGATGCTGACATCACCACTAAATCAAAATCATCAGTGTTTCCAGCTCGCAAAGAAGTGAGCCACCTGGGAGCCGGCTTTGAAGCCGGGGGAACCGGGCGATTCCGGGATGGTCCGTCACTTCTGTTCTTTTTAGACATAATATGTAGACCTCCGGGATAAAGGCAGCCACCTAGAACATAACCTAGTGCCCCTTGCAACACATGAGTCAAGGCCGGGCTGCTAGAACGACCTTTGGCTGTGGCTCCTAAAGTTACTCTGGAGTCTAAAAGCCCTAGAATGCGAGACGAATGATGATGTTTTGCACAATGTTTGACCCAGGTCTTATATACTCTACTCTCTAAGACGTTGATATGATTGCTCTTGCGGAAGCGATACCTGAGCAACTCTTTGAAGTGCACAGAGTCCGAATATTCAGCAATCCACTCGGCATCTTCATACCAAGGCCGGTAGCTCGGACGATCCAAGCTGGAAGATTCGTCATCACCTGACAGAGGCAGCACAGGTGCTTCAAGACCTAACTCAAGATGCGTACTGACTCTGAGTGAAAAAGGAATGATGGCTACACTTCCGGATTTTTGGGCTAGTGACCCCTGTGCCATGCGGGTGCACAAAGGAATAGGATATGATCCTGAAAAAGCGGCCACTGCTTCGCCAACTTTAGGGGTCCTACCATAAACAGAAACACTATCGGGGTTACACAGTTTTTCAAACTTAGGGATATTTTGCCTAGTGAAACTCCCCTGGATTACAAAGTGCCCCCGCTGCGCCGGACACCGGCACTTGCAAGCTAACCCTGTCAGCCAAGGTTTATTGTGCAACCACTTTGAAGGCTTTTTGAAGGCAGAACCATATTGGCAAAAACAAAACTTGGTGAGGATGCACCCTGCTAGGACTAAGTTTTTGAAAGCATGTAACAAAAACATAACAGACGATCCCGGTTGTTCAACGCTGACATATGAGCCTAATTGCAAAGCTATTAGGAGGATATAGGCAGTCCTGCGGGCTAACTTGTTATGCTCCTGGGTGAGCGGGTCATTAAGATCAAACCCTGCTGGAAAAACCTTACTCCGGATGCGGGGTCTGCGCAATGTACCGTACGTACGGCACGGCGTCCCAGCATGCCAGTCACGCACCACGCCTCGTAGAGCTAGGCTAAGGACTTCATGAAAAACTGAGTCATCCAGAAGATCTCCAAACGATAGGCCTTTGTCCTTGATCTCCACTCCAGGATGAACTCGCAGGCCAACCTGTTCGTGAGCAGCACTCCAGTTGCCCTCCCCCCTAAAAAGCTCTAGACAATCCCAAATGAAACCTTCCGACAAATGTTTGGGCACGGGAAGTGACCAAAGCCCTACGGGATCAACAGGGGATGGTCCAAAAGAAGGTTCGCTGTCAATACAAGGTTCTTTTAAAACGCTAGCTGCAGGATTTTCCAATTTGGTGTAGAAGCCCCGTTGTTCGGAATGCCGCCACATTTCATTGACTACATGCTTTGATTCCTGAACTTTGCAAATGGCCCCTCCATGCGGACTGGCGTCCATGCAAAACACTTGATCACAGGTACCCACTCGCAGGTCAGTCTGACAGAGTGGGCCAAGAATGCAGAGAGCCAGCAGTTCATTGCGGGCCTTACGTGACAGTTCAAACACAGTTTGTTGGGATACATGTTTACCCTCATTAAAAACAGCGGACATGACACTCATGATCGGACGCCTATACATAAGGACGTTGATCCAGGAACCAAGGATGCTGGAGAGGAGTTTGGGAGTGGCGGTTCCCCGCTTAGCTATGATTGAGGTGCACAACATCAAAAGCCCAATGCGGTGACGAGGGGCCGAGACACGGCCGACCGCTCCGTCTATCTCCGCACCCAAAAATGTTCCTGAAATTTCATGCCGCTTTCGCTTGCGAGGATGCTGCACTAGCCCGACCTGCCGGTAAGCTTTGGCAGCAGCTTGGAAAACTTGATCATCCCTGGCTAATGCACTGGCTCTATAGGCGCTCTTGGAAATACGCTGAAGTCCTAGGTGATCATCAATCGACAGGAATTCATAGAATGGTCCTCGAGGGAAGGCACGGCGATATGCCACCCGCTCGTGCTCTAACAAACATCCTGCTACTTGAGACAGAACTTGGAAATGCGCCTGCTGCGCTATTTCAACAGCCAACGAGTCGCCCATGGCCAAGGCGGCCAACGCCACAAAGCATGGCCCTGTGTGTTTGCAAGGATCAAAACATGAAAGATGCTGGATCTCCTGTGGCTTGAAAACTGTTCGGATGCAATTCCGCCGTGCTCGGTCTGGCGGAACTTTGAATGTGTAGTACATTTCTGATAGATCATCGGCTGAAATTCGGAGGACTTCGTCCTCAGCTAGCTGAATAAGAGAAACTAGGGAACCCGGGGCCAAACTACGCGTGTAGTTGCTATAATGCTGCATGCGTCCGTTAGTGACAACGGGGTTGAGGATCAGTCGGTCATGAGTTTCATCTTTGGCTACCGCGAATATCCCCACGGCTTCATCATGAGCCACCTCGCTGCACATGAACAATGCACAAGCCCCTTTGGAGTCCCACTTCTTCAGCCAGTTTGAGAACTTCAGCTTTGGAACAGTGGACTTTACCCCTGGGAGCCTTAACCCACAAGTGTTCGGGGAGCCTAAGGGTGTCAGGACTAATGAAAGCACGCTTAACTACGGGGTCAGTTAAGTATGGAATTGGGTCGAATGAAGGGGAATGATCCCATTTGATTCTACTCACAACCACCGGCTTAGCCGTAGTGCACCCAAGATTAAGCTGAAGAGGATCAACTACAGAGGCATCTCCCTTTGGGGGTGTTCGGGGGGGATTATCAGCCTCCACTGTTTTTGGCCGGGGAACGCCTGTCCCTACTGGTAGGGGGTCCTGAAGCCCCAAAGTTTGGTTACTGCTGGAGCACCAACCTTTGGAGGAAGTCCCAAATTCACCTAGATCAAAATTTGAAGCTACACAATTCTCAGTGGCATCCTTGGACATGCATGCGGATGGGCTGAAAACAGAACCATCTTGTTTCCCGTACGGGTCTAAACAACGACTAATTGATTCAGCCATGACAGCTAGGTCCACGTCCTGGCATTGCTGGCCAGGCAGTTCCCTGCAGACGCTAAGCAGTGCGTCTAATTTTTCAGCACTCCTGCCCAGTGATGCGGAGTCGAAATCGCCCGCAGCTAAAAAATAGTCTACAAGTCCCTCCAGCCGCTCAATCATAGCAATCTGTGAAGGGGAGTAGCCATATCCTGCAATAGCTTGTGGGGGCGGATGCACCGGATGACCTAAGGATTCCCAGTTCAAACAACAAACTATCTGCTGCACACAGTGGTTCCTACAGGCCAGATGCTTCTTGCGCTTCCGGCGCGCTGGTGACAGGGCTGAAGGTCCCGTCCATTTCCACACAGGTGGAGGACACGGCCAGAGATCCAGTCGATCTGATGCCGACTGCTGTGCGGTGCGAGGATCCAACTTGCAAGAAAGCCGAGTAAAATGGGCTAACCCTACGGATGCAAGTTCGTTGCATTGCAAAACTTCATTAATTATATCTAAAAAATTGAAGGTCCCCGGACTGTCAGGCCCAGTGACCCGCTCGTATGAAGCAGGACTACGGGAATGGGGGTTATGCAAACCAGATGAGGAGGAATGATTACTGGTTGAATGCTTGGCATCTGCAGAAAACGGAACCTCTTTACCCATCAGTGCAAAATTGCCACGTTGCTTCGAACGTGGACTTCCCGGAGAACTGCCCTTCAAGCCTCTCAGGTTTTCGTCGCTTCCGAGGCTTCGGCTGCCGCGGTCTTGGCACTGGTCTTGCCATTCCCTTTGCCTTTTGGCTTCGGCTTGGGCTTTTTGTCTTTGTCTTTGTCGATGTCCTTGTCCCACTCGCTTTTGCTGTCGTGCTTGGTGCCATCCTTGAGCCTCGACTCCATGTAGTCCATGTCTTTGAGAAAAGCTATGGTGGCGGCCACCCAACTTGGACTCGCAAGGCGAGAGTAAGGACGGAGCCCGCGACGTTGTTTGTTCCGTTCGATGGCAGCGAAGTTTGGCTCTGCCACTGCGGAGAGCAGCCAGCCCATGGTCGTCCTGCCACCATCCAAACAAAACTGCTCGGTCATCATGAGTCCCTTTGCCATAAGTCCCATGATGTTCGCATCGTTCAGGTTGAAACCAATCTCCCAACCAGTTGCCATAAAATGACTCAAAAGCGTCAATGTTCGCATGTCTCCCAGGGGCACTCTCTTCTCGATGAACTCCCTCATCAAGCCGGGGAAGGGCTGAGAATACCCCATGTCTTGAAGCACATTGCGCTGCGTCACTCGAGCGATCATAGGAAGATCTTCCATGTGCTTGATGAAGATCTCGCGAGCATGGCACCCCTTCACTCCCGAAGAGGATTGGGTCGAGTCTGAGGACCCCGAGAGAACTTGGCTCAGAGGGTCGCTTGACCTGGGGCCCATCCGAGCCAGCAAGGCCTGCGCATCGCGAGAATGCGATGCAAAGGGTCGCCAGTTTGCGCCAGCTGCGCCAGAGCATCTTCTTCCTGCGCCTCCAATCGCACCTCGGCCTGCGTGTCGAACTCCTCGCCTCGATAAGCGGTAGCTGCTTCTGGTCGAGGAGCTCTTTTCGGTGCAGGTCCTGCTAGCTTCTGAAGTTGGTCCCAATCTTCTTGACGCAGGCCGCCAGCGGCCATCTGCATGGGGAACAGCTCCTGAGCAGGCGCAGGGGCGGCTAAGAGGCTGGTGCGACCAGCAGCTTCTGCCTCCAACTGCTGGATTCGAGCTTGCATTTGCCGAATCACATCTGACTGATCTTCTCCAACAGGAGCATGGTCGGCCCCAGGGATCTGCTCTGGGAACTCTTCGCCCCCTCCGCCAGAATCGGCCGAGTAGTACTCCTGGAGGACATCGTCCGGCTCTTTTGACAGCAACCAGGCTTCCGAGGCCGCCCAAGCCTCGTTCGACCGGGGCCGCCCAATCTGGTCCTCCACAGTGATCCGCAGGATGCTGTCGGTGGCATCTCGACGAAGAGCAATTGGCCGCCGAAACTGCGCAGCTCCAAGCCAGGGCATGTCGACCAACAAGACGCTTGCAGTGCCTAAAGTCCGGCCCCGCATGGTCTCGATGACGGCGTCGGCTGCCTCGTAGATCGCCACAGGGTAGCCCTCGCCGTCCACCCATTCCTGCAGAACTGTTTCGATGGCCTCGACGTGAGGCAAGATCACCATGAACCCATGCTCTCTGCTGCGAATCAAAAATGCTATGGAAGTCCATAGTTGATCAAGGTGATCACTAGGGCTGCAAAAATGAAGAACTGGTAAGGGTTTGCCAGCAGTCCAACCGCTCAGCAAGTCCAGAATGGCCGTCTGCGATAGACGGCCTCTCACAGTTCCACTCGTGGCCATCCCCTCTGCGCCCCGGCAAGGAACGCAACCACCTCTGCCAGAGTAGTGAATGAATGAGACACACTCTGGGGATCAAAACCGATCCGTCCACTGCCAGTTGATTGAACCTCGCGGCAGTAAACAGCGTAGTCCTCAGTGATGAAGCCCTCAGGAAAATCCCTGGAGCGCAACACAACGTACCAGCGCTTGATGCCTGGCACGTGGGGAGACTTGCAAGTCGTCCGAGCGCGCCGGTCCAGCTTGTAGCGAGCCCCAAGGCCAGCTCTGACGGCACGGGCGAGACGAGCCCTAGCAACTCCCGGACTGGGAAAATCAGGATCTGCTTCTAATCCAGCTAACCGCTCAAAATGCCACTCACCCAAAGCAGTGTTGGTGTCTGAAGCAAAAAGCGCTCCAGCTTCCTCTTCCACAAAATCAATGGTAGGCACAAAATTGGCAGCGCGGAACTCAGCCCCTGATGCCGCAGTGGCTGAGGCGACCTCAGCAGCCAGTTCTGGGACCTCCGGACCCGGATCTGTCACCAATTCCCAAGAGTCCTCTTCCCGAGTGACTCCTAGGCGATCCAAGACAGAAGAGGCCACTTGGCCAAGTCGCCCAAGCATCAACTGCGGTACTCCCGCAGTCGCAAGCGAGCTAACGCCCCCCCAGGAGCAGGTGCTGGGTCACCCCAAGTGTTCAAGGCTAAATGCAGCAACTGAGATAAAAATGATCGGCACCGTGGGGAGATGACAACACAAGTCAATACGGCACCAGAGATCAGGCCTACGCAGAAGGCAGCAGCCACGCCCAGCACAAGGAAGCTGAGGGTGCAGCTGCAATATGGCTCTGGACCTGAAAACGCCCACCTGGCTTCACGGGCTAAGTCGACCCACCAGGTTCCGAGCATATATTTCCCTGAGAAAGCTTGGAGCCAGATAGCGCACCAGCAGATGACCTGAATTGATAGGACACATATATATATATATATATATTATATCCCTCCAAATTGCCCCTTTAATAGGGATAATGATAATTGATCAATGTATTTAGGGGTACCCTGTTTTCAAACAAACCCAGCTCAAGATCACCTACAAGTTTTCAGTTCAGACCACCAGAACACAAAGGTCTGCAAAGCAAAACCTCATGGCGTCCTTTCTGTTGCAAGTGAGCTACGTTTTGTTTGCAAAAAAATGTCAATCTTCGAATTCATTTGAAGTCCCAAAATCACAGTGACTTGGGGATTCAGCTGGGATCCTCCATGTCATGGGAATTTAAAACCTCAACTGGGATACGGTGCCCCTGTCAGCTGCTGCAGGTCCTCCGCGTTGGCATCTCCACCGTTGGCCAATAGTGTTTCCACAACGGCCTCAATTCGTCGAAGAATTGAATGGGGGGGAACCGGGTAGTTGGGCACTTGGGGTGAATTTTGAGCCCACACAACTTCACCAGCAAAAAAGTTGATGAATCAAGTTACATCCTGAAAACATGCCATGATCAGGAAACTATATGATGATTTCCTAAAATGGGGCTACCCCGTACCCCAATAGCTGGATGGTTTTTGGGTGGAAAATCACCAAAAAAAAGAGGATGCACGGGGGTAGTCCATGACTTCGGAAACGGGCTGAGAGCCGGACCAGTTGTCCGCGGTGCACGGCGCGGTGCAGAGGTGTGGCACCCCATTCATCCGCAGAGATGCCTCGATTCGGAGGGTGTTTGGCCATAGGATACCCATAGGATACCCATAGGATACCCATAGGATACCCATAGGATACCCATAGGATACAAAGCTGTCAAGGATTTAAATGTATCTAGACTTCATCTAGACATATCTAGACCACATTTCGGGGCTGAAGTTCTCACACTTTCTCAGCTAGGTGTGAACCGCCGGGTACCAGGGTGTTTTCTCACACATACCCATTTGATGAAAAGGCTGACCCAACAAGGCTGCCTGCGCCTTCACTGAGTAAGAGTGAAGCCAATTCTGCCTGCAGGTCGGGCACATGGCTTTATTGAAGAAAAACTCCAACCATTGGTGTCCTCTATCAAGAAGATCATAGAATCGCAGATCTTGGGGTTCTGAGTCACTGAGTCTAACTGGACACGGGCTCAGCAGTCATGACACTATGAACTCTACAACATAGCCACTCCACAACTCTTACATCATCCTAAACCCCCTACTTGGGTGTGCAGTTGGGGTTTGAAGTGGATATTTAACCATACTTATAGATACTTATAGGGGTCATTACCATGGTTATACCCATGAATAATATTGGATAATCCCGACTGCACCCGCAAGTAAATTGGATGCAACTCTCCAATTCGCCCACAAAATGCCATTCCATCGTGGCCACATCACACCCAGCTGTCCCAGCTGTCCTTTCCATGCTCTGCAGCTTTGTGCAAAGGAGTAGATCTCCAACGATCTTCCCGACCTCGGCCAAGATTCAAAGATATGGTGAATTGTCATCATTAAATGACCATGATATGGTTTTGGGAAAGATACTGTAACGTAATCTGCTCTATTTTCGTTCTCAAACTAGTTGGTTGAATCACTCTTAGCACTAAATTGCATTTTTGTTGTTATCACTTTATGGGTATACCGGTATACCTTGTACCATTTTCAGACACACCCATGCCAAAAATCAATCTGCCAAAGTAGATACATGGTTTCTTGGACCATCATCGTGCCATGATCTCGCGGCGTCTGAGTCCCAGTCCTACATCTGCTCCATTCTTCACAAGCTCCTGGGGCTTAGGGGTTCCCCACATGGTCAGCCTCTCAGATGGACTTGACCTCGTGAATTGACCACAATACCGAGAAATCTGCGGGAGTCCTTGGCCAAATTGCTCTGCCCAGCAGCTGCCTTGTGCAAAGGTGTTGCAAGATATCTGTCCTAGCAAGGTCTGGATGGCGGGACTTTCAACGACCAAAGAAAAGGACTCTGGTTTGTGGTTGGGAAAGCCAATTTCAGATTTAATTTTCAGCTCAACATCCTTTTCAAGAATCGAACTGACTGATGAACAAGATATTCAGCATATAGATGGATATAACTATTCACTCACTACCCAACGTCCCTTTGGACAAAAAATCGATCTGCCAGTCCGGCAAATCATCTAGTATCATTTGCCTGTTGGTTCTTAGGGGGTTAACCCTTCATCTAAGAATGAATGAGTAGGAAAAGGACATCTCGCCACTTCAGTCCTGCGCATTGATGTCTGCTCCGTTGCTCAACAGCAATGCTCCCAAGGATCCATGCCTCGATATATCAAAAATGGTCCTGAATCCCATGGTGAATCATCATATTTCAATATATGTCCCATCATTTCGTGGCAATTCTTCCCCATTTTCAGACCCAACGAGATTCGAAACGCACATAGTTTAACCAGCATGGTCCGACGGTACGGACCTCACATTCGACCCTACCGCAGCCTCACATTCGACCCTACTCCAAAATAACGTCATGCAGCCTCACATTCGACCCTACCCTAACAAAAATATGCAACCCTTCCAGGAAAAAAGGCCACTTTTTCCGGTTCACATTTGACCCTACCCCACTTTAACCTGCCTCAAACCAGAAAAATTACATTCATTGCTATCAAATCAACCAGCCCCCCTTGCACAACTACATTCATTGGTATCAAATCAACCAGCCCCCTTGAACCATTACATTCATTGGTCTCAAATCAACCAGCCCCCCTTGAACAATTACACTCATTGGTATCAAATCAACCAGCCCCCCTTGA